TAAATGTATTTAATAAAAATCCAATGAATTAATATATACCTCATAAAAATCCAAACTTTGAAATGAGGTATTATTCTTCTTTGAAGAAAAGCCCCGCGTTACATTTAAGTCGCATATAATTTAAATTCTAGAGTTTACTAACCCAGCTTTTCCGGGCTTAATACAGCATTAATATCCAATATGGTTTGCTAGAAGTTTATTTCAGGTTCTTTTGTATCATACTGTAATTATCATTACTTTGACTTGACTCACATAAAAATGCGGTTAACATTTAAATGCCTTTTTAATGTAGAGAATTATAAATCAGCTGTCACATTTAAATCTTTACCTTCTATCACTTAGGGAATGTTAAATCTTTAAAAGGAAATAATCACTGCGCTTAAAACAATCCTGCGCTAGGATTCCTTTATTTAGAATTTTGGGTTGAGATTGTTCATTCAAAGAAAATCCCTTGTTTCGTGTTTACTGTAAACCTCCGTCTGAAATTAACATTTAAATGGCAACATTAGTAACAGCAGCAGTACTTCAAAACCACCGATTTTATCCATTGCTGCTAGTTAAGTGGAATTTATCAAAGTCTTCAAAGGTGATAATACAATTAAAAGCAAGAAAATGAATACAATAGTTGGTGGAATTAGTTCCCCCTTTCTTTGCAGTCTAAAGAATTACAAAATTTGTAATTGCATTCGCACAAAAGAAAATAGCACAACATACGAAGAGGCGTGGTGTCCAGGAGATGCACTGACACGACCTTTGATGCTGCTACCTGTACTCGCAGAACATGTAAATGTATAGCATGCAAACTCCCGGTCAAGAAGTGACTACATGTTAAATGTTGAAACTTTTTAATTATTCACGATGTTGCATTGCATTTGGATAGGTGTTAAATACAGATTTGGGCGGTATATTAAAGAACAGGAGGAAAAAGAAAACTTCGCTCTTTCTCAGTGTAATTTAGCAGTGAGCATATAGATACATTAATGCTTGTAATATGGGTTCTGTAGACATGCTATATCCTTCATAATTGAACATGGATAGAAATAATTTGTTGGATCTAAGGCAGACCGCCATTTAAAACGCACTGCGTGCAAAGGTCAGTGCACGAGAGTCGCATTTTATTTTGTGCGAAGTGACCATTTTGCTGGTGCCTTCCCAGAAATGAAGCAAATACCCACGATTAGAATGTATTTCAGTGAAGGCTGTTAATAATTTAAACCCACATAAACAAAAGGCAGACAAGCATCAACGTATTTTAAATGGATCATCAGGAAATGTATTATTCTACCTTTCGAGTGTCACTAAGTTATTGCAGTTTTCCTGGTTTCAGTTGCATCTGTTTAGCTGCAGCACGTATCCTTTTGCACGTAGGTAAAGTTCAAAGCTTTCTCAACAAAGACCCAATCTGAAAATGAAGTAAAAATTGCTAGGAGAAATTTGCTTTCTGGAAAGAAGTGAGTTTCCTCCACTCTACAGCTCAAAGTCCTGATATCAGTTCGTGTTTTCCAGCATAGTGTGCATTTTATGTAAAGTGTATGATTTTTCTGTTATTCCTGGAAGACTGTTCTGGTGATTATAGCCAACTGGCAATGCAGTTTTGTAAATGGAAGACTTTTTCTTGTTCAATGCTTTGTTTTATTCACTAAACTTACAATATGATTTTGCACGTTTTATAAAAAAAAAAAAGGTGAAATGTAAAGCAAGTATTCAAAAATCTTAGGATTATTGTTGGAACTGATTAATTGGTAGTAAAAATCTAAGGTGAATACCGCTTTATTTTTGTTAATGTAGCTAAAGGGCTGTGCACTAATGTATGTCAACATTTTCTTGAGGAATTCCGTGAACTTTTTAAAAATTTGCATTTGGAGAGTGTAATTTTCTTTCACTTATGCGCTGATTTGATTTGAAAAAGTATCTAAAATCTGAAAAAAAAGAGAAAACATAATCTTCTTGTACGTTTCTTATAATCTAACTTGTTCAGCTTCTAGGTTTTGTAGGTTTCTTTTAAGGGAATTGGATTTTCTCCTTGCATTTAGATTAACAATGAAATTATTCATTCTTCCTCACTGAATTATATTCCTCTCTAATTATTTTAATCTCTTATATATCATTATAAGAAGGACAGGCTGCTTTTTTTTAGAAGAAAATCTGCCTTCTGTGTCATGTCAGTGCTTATTAAATACTACAATCATAAGAACATATATGCTACAAGATTTTATGTTCTGATTCCATAGCTGTTATAGGCTTAGTGTTTGCAGTATTTATTTAGTGGTAATGCATTTCTTTTCCTATTTTGCATTTCAAAGGTCTTCTCTAAATGATTGTTTTACAGAACTATCAAGAGGTTATCTAAATTTTTCCATCAAATATTACAGAATACTATAAGGTAGTAGTCATGGAGCTTCTTTCAGTCCATGTACATTCTTTCTGTAGAAAAAATTAAACAGAAATCCATTAAAAAATACAACAAATGTTTCATTAAATAATTTAATGTGTTAGGCTTGACTGAATTTTGAGCAAAGCAAAATTTCAGGCTGTTCAGTACTGAGCTGGTGTGTTACGTGGCGTGAGATTGAAATATTTTTATTTGAAAACTGTACAGTAGGTTTTTCACAAAAATACTCTTGTTGCCATGGTGCGGTTTTAATCAAGTTGTTGCAAAGTGATTAATTTTTTCTTTGGTGATTCTTCTTTACAAAACTAAAAATTGAGCCTTAAAATAGCTAATGTTAAAAAAAAAAAACAACCCGGGAATTGTACTAGTTGCTTTTCAAAGAAGAACTTGTCGATGAATTAAAA